AATAAAAAAATCTTAAAAAGATTAAATGCCTGTGGCTCACGCCTGTCATCCTAGCTAATCAGGAAGCTGAGATCTGAGGATCACGGTTCAAAGCCAGCCCAGGCAGGAAACTCTGTGAGAGGCTTATCTCCAATGAACCACTAGAAAACTGGAAGTGGTGCTGTGGCTCAAGTGGTAGAGCGCTCACCTTGAGCTGAAGAGCTGAGGGACGGTGCTCAGGCCCAGAGTTCAGGCCCATGAAAAAAAAAAAAAAAAAACCTCTGTAAGTGGCTCAGTGGTAGAGTGCTGGCCTTGCATGCATGAAGCCCTGGGTTCCATTCCTCAGTACCACAGACACAAAAAAGCTGGAGTGGCACTGTGGCTCAAGTGGTAGAGTGCTAGCCTTGAGCAAAAGAAGCTCAAGGACAGCTCCCAGGCCCTGAGTTCAAGTCATAGGACTGGCAAAAAATAATAAAATAAAGAGTAGGTCATCTCACAATTACAATCACACACACACACACACACACACACACACACACACACACACACACACGAGTATTACTCTACCATAAAGAATGAAATGATGACATTAGTAGCAAAAAATGGATGGAACTGAGGATCCTCACATTAAGCAAAATAAGCCAGAGTCAAAAAGACAAATATACCATGTTGAGTCAACATCTCTATAGAAACAGATACATAAAGGAAGGGAGCAGGGAGGGAGGGAGGGAAAGGGAAGGATCGCGAAGGGAAGGGGAGACAGGGAAGAAGCCAGAGAGCTAAAAAAAAAATGGAATGGGGGAAACCCACACATACCTTCTTGATATAAGAGGAGAGAGAGAGACAGACAGACAGAGAGACAGAGAGACAGAGAGCGCAAGGGAGAGAACCCTCTGTGTGTGACGCCATAACACGCCCCCCCCCAGCAGCAGCTCCACGCCCCGCCCATGCTGAGGAGACCAACAGGAAGCATCTAGAAAACACAACCTCAGTCACCCCACTGTCTCCCCACTTCTGGTGTCCTGGCTCCTGGACGACAGGATCTCCCTACAGATCTCAGCATTCACCCCGCGCTGCTGCCCTGACTCACTGGGGCTGACAGCCCAGGACTCCTGCTCCAGTGCTCTGGGCAGAAATGATCTTGTGCAAGCATTCCCCGCCCAGCCCCTCCAGGACTCACTGTCTACTCCAGACCTCTTTCCTGACACTTTCTGCCCCCTTCCTCCCCCTCTCTTCTCTCTCTCCTTCTCCCTCTCCCTCTCATTTTCCCCCATTTCTTTCCCCGCCCTTTCCTGAGCACAGAAACATGTTTGCAGTTCTTCCTTGCAAGAGCACACCACAGTGGCCATGTGTGCGTATTCGCGCTCTCAGGCGCTCTTTTATCTTCATCTCCCCCTCATTAAGAGCCCGCCTGAAACAGCCATGATTAAGTCATTCATCATCTTAAGTCACTCACCCCACGGGGACACGGTGACACACATCCTCCTCCAGGAGACCTGGCTCCGCTCATGGGTCCTACTGAGGCTTGGGGCAATCTCCTTCCCTTCCTTCTTCCATGTTGTCTTTGTTTTTGTCCATTGTGGGGCTTGAACTCATGGCCTGGGCGCTGTCCCAGAGCTCTTTCACTGAAGGCGAGCGCTCTACCACTTTGAGCCACAGCACCACTTCCGGTTTTCTGATGGTTCATTGGAGAGAAGACTCTCACAGAGCTTCCTGCCTGGGCTGGCTTTGAACCGTGATCCTCAGATCTCAGCCTCCTGAGTAGCTGGGGTGACAGGCGGGAGCCACCGGTGCCCGGCTTTCTTTCTTCCTTGTTTATCATTGAAAAGCCAGAGAGCGCACACATGACACCGGCCAGAGGCCCAAGCCCACCTCCTCAGACGCCAAGAGCGCGTGGCCACGCCAACCCACACACAGCGCTGAGCCTCCGGGAGTCCGGGCTGCCCCTCGGCACCAGCTGCCCACCGAGAACCATTCAAGAAGTGGTGTTGGAGAAAAGGATAGAGAGAGGCGCGGAGGGCAGAGGGAAGGAGGAGGGTCTTCACGAGGTGGGTGGGGCTGGGCATGGCGGCTCACACCTGCCATCCTAGCTACTCAGAGGCTGAGATCTGAGCATCGCTGAGGGGGAAGCCATGAGACGGCGGGTGTGATGGTGCCCTCTCTCCTTCGAGCTATCCAGCGTACACAAGGAGGAGGGCTGAGCTTCAGCTTCCCTCTGTGTCATCCTGAAACCTTACAGGAAAAACATTTTAAGCAAAAAAGGCAGAGGTCCTGGCTCAAGGGAGAGAGCACCTGTCCCGCAGGGACAATGTCCAGTCCTTTGCTCCAGACTAGACACACAGCAAAAGAAGGGTGTGGGGTGTGCTGAGTAAAAGCCAG